TTTCTGGGTCTCAACTTCCTCACTATAAAAAGATGAGATTGACTGGACAAATTCAAAGGCTCCCTTCATCTTGAAAATGTTTTGATTCCTTCTAGGGTTACTATGTATAGACTTTAAAAATTAGAACTATTGTGATAAACCAAGAAAAACTTTTATGCTAAGAATAATCTTTATGTAGAGACCTAAATCTGAGCCAAGGGATAAAATTGGAGGTTTGTATATACAAATGTAAGAGCATATGCCAGGCTGGGCGCAGTGGCTCATACCTGTAATCCTAACACTTTGGGAGGCTGAGGCGAGAGAACCACCTGAGGTAAGGAGTTTGAGACTAGCCTGGCCAACATGGTGAAACCATGTCTCTACCAAAAAAAAAAGAAAAAAAATTAGCCAGGGATGGTGGCACAAGTAGCTGAGTGAGGCGGGAGAATCGTTTGAACCTGGGAGGTGGAGGTTGCAGTGAGCTGAGATCGCACCACTGTACTCCAACCTGGACAATAGCGTGAGACTCTGTTTCAAAAAAAAAATCGAATGCCAACGTAATTCCGTACTGAATAGCCATGATTTATTTTCATACTAGCAATAAAGCTACCTTACTAATGAGGTAGGGCTATGTAAGATGCTCTGGTGGTCCTGTGGGGCAGAGGTGACATCTCTGTAAAACCCTCTCTCATCTCAAGGCCTTTTCTCTGCTCTGTTTTAGGAAATGAGAAGAACAGTAGAACCAGTGAGTTGTAGTTCTACACTAATAAAAATGCCTCCATCAATATTGATCATTATCTGTTGCTTGATCAGGTCCAGATCATAGTTCTTTTTTTTTTTTTTTTTTAAAAAAAAAAAAAAAAAAAAGAATGAAGGAGAGGAATAAAGAGGAAGAGGGAGAGAGAACAGGAGTGTTGCTTTATTGCCCAGGCTAAAATGCAGCCTAAAAATGAGTATTGAAAACCTCTTTTATGCCAATAATTATGCTTAGTAATGGAGGCAGGAAGAGATGAGGGAAGAAAATAACAAACAAGCAGCCAACCAATATTTCATTTAAACCTGTGAAATGCTATACAATTACCAAAGAATGATTTACTTCACTTTTAGAGTAGGTGTGATGTGGTACTGATAAAAGTGTATATTTTGTGTATTTGGAGAGTTCTATAAATGTTTATTAAGATTAGTTGTTCCGGATCTGAGTTCAAGTCCTGGATATCTGTCTCGTTGATGTGTCTAATATTGATGTTGAAGTCTCCCACTATTATTGTGTGGGAGTCTAAGTCTTTTTATAAGTCTTACGTATCTAGGTGCTCCTGTATTGGATGCGTATATATTTAAGATCGTTAGCTCTTCTTGTTGCATTGATCCTTTTACCATTATGTAATGTCCTTCTTTGCCTCTTTTGATCTTTGTTGCTTTAAAGTCTATTTTATCAGAGGCAAGAATTGCAACTCCTGCTTTTTATTTATTTATTTATTTTTGCTCTCCATTTGGTTAGTAAATTTTTCTCCATCCCTTTGTTTTGAATCTTTGTGTATCCTTGCATGTAAGATGGGTCTGGATGCAGCATATTGATGGGTTTTGGCTGTGACTTTTGATTGGGGGATTTGGTCAATTTAAATTTAAGATTAATAATAATATGTGTGAGTTTAATATTGACATTTGATGCTAGCTGGCTGTTTTGCCCATTAGTTGATGTAAATTCTTCATTATGTGGATGCTCTTTACTTTGTGATATATTTTTGGAAAGGCTGATATTGGTTGTTCCTTTCTATGTGTAGTGCTTCTTTCAGAAGCTCTTGTAAGGCAGGCCTGGTGGTGATCATAGTTCTTACTTACGAAAAATCAATCTATACACTTTAACTCAGATGTACATTTAGTTATTCATATTCTTGCACAACTCAATTACTATAAACATTTGTTCCAAATTTATACCGTGGTCATTTTTGCCTATTTCTTCACAAAGTTTTATAGAAGAGGGGATCCTTGACCTACAAGGCAGCTCAGGGTTAATAAGAGTACGTTCAACAAGCCTATGAAGATAAGGGCATTTCAGATAAAGCATGCAAAGTTACCTGGATTCAGGTCTTAGCTCTGTGTCTTACGAGCTCTGATCTTGGGTCAGTCACTTATCCTGTCCATACTTGTCTCCTCAGTTGTGAAATGGTGATAATAAAAGCATCTACTATATAGCATTATTATAAGGATTAAATGAGATAATACATGCCAAAACAACGTAGTATTTGGAATATAGAAAGCATTCAATAAATGTAGTCTCTTTTTTCTTGTTGTTATTATTAAAGGCATGAAGATGTAAAGCACCATGACAATTTTTTCTGTCTTTGAGACAGAGTCTTGCTCTGTTGCCCAGGCTAGAGTGCAGTTGCACAATCTTGGCTCGCTGCAACCCCTACGTCCTGGATTCAAGTGATTCTCGGGCCTCAGTCTCCTGAGTAGCTGGGATTACAGGTGTGCATCATCATGCCAGGCTAATTTTTGTATTTGTAGTAGAGATGGGGTTTTGCCATGTTGGCCGGGCTGGTCTCGAATTCTTGACCTCAAGTGATCCTCCTGCCTCAGCCCCCCAAAATGCTAGGATTACCAGCTTGAGCCACTGTGCCTAGCCAACAATTTTTGAGCCTTAAGTAGTTAGGTATAGCATTTCTTCAAGACCCAAATCCAGTATTGTTTCTCCAGTGCAGCCTTCCCAAATTTCACAGCTGTAGAGCTTTGTTCCCCTGGCTCTTCGCTTGTTATTGTAATCTCTCTTGCTACTGGACTATTAGTCCTTCTGTGGTAGAAGCATATCTTATTTTCAACAAATATATATTGAGTATCTGAATGTATCAGGCATTATGCTAGATGAACAGTACAGATAAGGTCTCTGTTCTCTTGAAGCTTAAATTCTAGAATAAGAAAACAAAAAGTAAGTAGTTTCAGACAGTGGTAATTGAATAAAATTAAAAAGGTAATGGGGCCAGATAGAATGATCCTAGAAGTCCTTAAAGGAGTGACATTTGAGCTGAGACCTAGAGGATGAGCTCCTTGGATTGGGTAATAACACTTTTATTACTCAGCTCCACCCATATACAGTCTTCACTGTGTTCTTGTAATTTCCTCCAGGATTACCTTAAGATGTTAATTACTGCATTTTAGTTTGTAGCACACATTCCGTATTTATTTGTGCTTAGGTATAGCTCTGCTTTCCCTCCTTCTCTCCATGAGTGATCTATTGAGTTGACTTGTTTGAGTCTTTATTCTTTTTTTTTTTTTTTTAGACACAGTTTTGCTCTTGCTGCCCAGGCTGGAGTGCAATGGCGCAATCTCAGCTCACTGCAACCTCTGCCTTCTGAGTTCAAGCGATTCTCCTGCCTCAGCCTCCTGAGCAGCTGGGAATATAGGCATGCGCCACCATGCCTGGCTATTTTTGTGTTTTTGGTAGAGATGTTTTTGCTGGGGGGGAGGAGATTTCTTCATTCTGGTCAGGCTGGTCTCAAACTCCTGACCTCAGGTGATCCACCCACCTCAGCCTCCCAAAGTTTCGGGATTACAGGTGTGAGCTACTGCGCCCAGCCCTGAGTCTTTATTCTTTATCCATCCTTGCTTTAATCTGATCCACAGAATTGTATAAGTAAAATAGTCCCATCCCTAGATGTTCCTCTTGGGTATATGTGCTGTTCATTTCTTGTTTATGCTTTCTCGTTAAGTAGTAAGTTAGAAGCAGACTTCATTGTAAGCACTTGGGATGCGTTACTCACCATAATAGATGATATGGGAATTCTAAACAGTAGTTTACACAGACATTTCTGAAATATTATTGACAAAAGTAAGAACTTTTTACTTAAGTGTAATCTAGCCCTCCCAAAGCTAGGCTGCAGCTGGAAAAACATCACCTACTCTTCCTTTTGCCATCTGTTTGGTGGCACAATAAGGACCTTCAGTTCACTCTTCTTTTGAGACCTGACCCATTCCGTTATCCTTCAAGCAGAATGCACTTGATAATTTTGGTGACCATTTAAGGAAATGGCCTTCTGTTGCACTTGGTTAGTCAGCAAGATAAGATTCTGTTTTCTGGACTTGAAGGGCCTCATTGGAGGAGTAAGGGTTAGAGTGCACTTTTCTACAAAGAAACTAGGTTCCTTGGCTTCCATGGTGAGGTGTGGGACAAATAGATAGGGAGTTGAGTTGAGTTGTTGATTATCAGATAAGAGCCAATTCTCTCCCAAGTTTGCTTTACTGCATAAATCCTACTGCAGTGATTTCTTCCTGAATGTTCATAACCTTTCTCTTTTTTTGGACAATAAAGAAAAAAAAGTAGAACAGCTCAAGCATGTCTCAACCACTGGATTCCTGGGCTTTCAAATTGCACTGGTTTTTTTTTTTTCCTTGTTAGGTACTATCTGAAAAAGAATTAAAGGAGATTCTTGTCATTTGAACTTATAGGCCCTTTACTGTCTGCTGGTTATTCCAACAACATATACAACTCCTACCTAAGTAGACTCTACTTCTAAAGGTTTATTTTTCTGTTCTATTCAATTTTTCATCGCAGTTTTTCTGGAAGAGTTTAGGAGGATGATTGCCATTTAAGTGGTGATTTTAAAGAGCTCTCCTTGGTCAGACGCAGAGGCTCACACCTGTAATTCCAGCGCTTTGGGAGGCCGAGACGGGTGGATTACCTGAAGTCAGGAGTTCGAGACCAGCCTGGCCAACATGTTGAAACTCCGTCTGTACTAAAAATACAAAAATTAGCCAGGTGTGGTGGCAGGCAGGTGGCAGCTACATGGGAGGTTTAGGCACAAGAATTGTTTGAACCCTGGAGGCGGAGGTTGCAGTGAGCTGAGATTGCTCTATTGCACTCCGGTCTAGGCAACACAAGAGCAAAACTCTGTCTCAAAAAAAAAAAAAAAAAAATAAAATAAAACCTGTTAGAACTAATGAATTCAGTAAAACTGCAGTACACAAAATCAACAAAAAAAAACTCAAAAAAAAAAAAAAAGCTTACCTTATTTTTGTTAAAAATATTTCACTTGTATTTGCAGAGGTATATGCCACAACTGAGAGAAAGAAAAAAGGAAAAAAAGTTTCACTTGTTTTCCTTTATAAATGATTAGTCTCAAAATACTGTCATAACTTAACCAGCAGCACAATGCTGTTTAAAAATATTATATTGCAAAAGACAAAATAAGGTATATTATTATCAGTTATAAGTCTGAGGGAAATATAAATTTCATTATATTTTCATTATTTATAATTTTTAAAAATTTCCTTGGAAGAGACTTTTC